CAACAACACTAGAGGAGATTGTCAATGGTTCCCGTTCGGGACAAAACAATGGCATTCAATACCACATCGATCTCCGGAACAAGAGCCTCTCTGGTCAAATCCCCCCAGAGCTCCGCAGCCTGACCAACTTGTCGTACTTGGACCTGTCCATCAATGACCTCTCCGGCTCTATTCCCATCGAGCTCGGCAGCCTGACCAAGCTGACCGACCTCTATTTGAACTCCAACAACCTCTCCGGCTCCATTCCACCCGAGCTCGGCAGCCTGACCAAACTCCACTTTATCGATCTCTACAACAACAGCCTGTCCGGCCCAATTCCCCGCGAGCTCGGCAGCTTGACCAGCCTAGAAAGCCTCTACCTCTTCTCCAACAACCTGTCCGGCCCCATCCCCCTTGAGCTCGGCAGCCTGACAAAAATCACTTTCCTCGATCTCTATAGTAACAACCTCTCGGGCCCTATTCCCCCTGAACTTGGCAGCCTGACCAGCCTGACTGACTTCAACCTTTACAACAACAACCTCTCCGGCTCCATCCCCCACAAGCTTGGCAGCCTGAGCAGCCTAGAAGTTCTCCGATTCTACAATAACAACCTATCCGGCTCCATCCCTTCCGAGCTCGGCCGCCTGACCAACCTAAACACCCTCGACCTCTCCTCAAACGATCTCTCCGGCTCCATACCCCCAGAGCTCGGGAGCCTGACCGACCTTGCCGAGCTCGACCTCTCCAACAACAAGCTTTCTGGCCCCATCCCCGCAAGCCTTGGCAACCTGTCAGTTCTACAAAACCTGCGTCTTGAGACGACAGGGATAGCCTGCAATTATGTTGGTACACCCTTTCAATCGCTCAATCTGATGGGCCTTCCATGCTCACCTCCATCATGGGTGGGACAGAGTAGAAAGCTCTCAGTTCTCCATATAGCGTTTCCTAATCAATCCACAGAGGTTCTCGACCTTTCATTCGCCCCTCCAGTTTGCAAAGTGGTAAATCTGACTGGCTTGAACCCGGCTCTTAAGACTATAAAGTTTGGGGGTTGGTGCAGCGAGGGCTGTGTGGTCGATCTACAAGGCACTGGAGCCGAGTTGTCCAGTGGCACTAAGCGGGAGATCTGCCTGGGCAGAGTCTCAGTTTTCGTCGAGGGGATAGTAACGGAGCAGTTAAGGAACGGCGGGCTTTTCAACAGCTCTCTAAGCATCGATGGTCGCGTATACAACCTGACGGACCCGACCTTTGTCGACAAAATTGTTCTGGGTCCCGGTGGTAAATCGTATACAACAGGGGTTGGTGCATCCCTGGTCCATTCCGCAACTGGAAATCTTTGCAGCAATCCGGAGGCCCCGACGGTCGTGGCCGTCATGTATGCGACCTTTGGTGCTTCCTTAATAGCAGAAGTTTTTACCGCTTGGGCCCTTGCTCGTTGTCGAAGCGTGTGGGGTAGGGTGGGATCACAGGGCAAGAGGAGCATGTTGATTGACATGGTTCTTTACCTTCTCGGCATCGTTGGGTCCGCCGTCGTCTGGTATGACTTCTACACAGACATCCGCGTCCTCCTTGATGTGTGGAGAGCCTGGCCACAGTGGGTGTTCCTAGGTTGCATCATCGCCCCCTATGTCATCGGGACCCTGTCCATTTCCGAGGGCTGGGTCTCCGGTGATCTTCTCCCCGGAGCGTGGAATCTGGGGCTCAAGTGGATATGGCCTCCTCCGCAGATGGACGTAGGGGAAACTTTCCCCCGGCGCGCTCTTAACCCCCTGCAGTGGGCAGTGTTGCTAGTCGTTTGGCCCCTGGGCATCCCGGCCGTCCTTTTCCTCGACATCGTTGCCTTCCTTGACAAGCTTGGCTTCCATCCGGTTGTCGGAAAGAACGTTTATAGTCTGGACCTTTGGTTTGACTCGCGCTCCTTGATCGAGCTCTTGTTGCGTACGGTGCCACAGGCCATCTTCCAGACTGTCGTCTATCTGCTTGGCAGTTCGAGGGCCAATCGATACTACGTCGACCAGAACCTCTTCGTCATGTCGATCAGCTTGTCTCTGCTTAGCATCCTCTTTCAGTTAGCACGTACTTTGTGGCAAGCGGTCCAAGCCTCGGAGTACGTTTGGGTGACCTTTTGGAGGCGGCTCCGTTGTGTTAAGAGGTCTTGGGTGATAAAGTTGCATAGTAACATAACGGCCGAGAGCGAGCTGGCCCTGTCGTCTAAGATCGATCAACTTTCTGATTTTCTGTAGATCTTCTCAGAAGGGCTTGTGGGGACCATGCGGGTGATCCTTTACACAATTGAAGGACATCCCCAATGATGCTGATGAGGTAACGTTGTCAGACCGGAGCATGCATGACTGAATCTGCAACGCTCATTATGTTCAACGTTCGTGCTCTTCCCGTCAAATGTGGCAACCGGATCAGGCCTCAATATTTCTCTTGAAGGTCTTTCTGACTCATGAGAACGTGCTCATGTGGACACAATTACACATTACGAATGTTTGTGGAGTTATTTTCCACTGGAGCAGAAGCTACAAATGCAAGCTGTTAAGTTGTACAACGACTGTGGGAAAGGTGCTCTTCTCGGAAAGAAATGCAAACATGTAATATGTTACACCAGTGGCTACTTGTCCTAAGCCCACAGCAATGTTCTTTCTTTGAACAAAACTACACACAACCTTCGCTTGAATTGAGTCCTTGTAGAGTCCTTACTCTGTCTGCCAGAAAACTCAAACTGACAAAGCGCTGCTTCAGCTGCCGTATGATCGTCCATTTCATCTGTAACATATATCATTTGCATCATGATCAAGTGCAATGAAGGCATTCAGCAGACCTATCGTGGCTAAATATCATCAAATGACACACACTCATACGCAAAATACCACAGGTTTCGATTCATCGGCGATTTGCGACTGATCAATCATATGCTTTGAGACTGAGGCCTTTCCCATTGCAAGTTACTATATTTTGTATGTTTTGATCAGCGCATTTTCTATCTGCATGACTGTAAGATGGATAAGCTCTGGCACCCCATTTCTAAGGCCATCATTAACGATATGTATGATGGGCAAGGGAAGATCACCAAGATGTCGGCGTCAATCCGAAGCTTATACTCAAGCTCTTAAGGCCTTATCGCCTTACCATGCGGGTGAGCACTGCATGGTCCGAAAGTCCCAATTACCCTGGAGTACATCGTTTTGCAGCGGGTGCTGCAAAAACGGGAATGTATGTGAATCCTAACTAAGACAAGAATGCATCTTATTTCATATGGTTGGCTGATCAAAGCTACCTGATTATCAGCTTATTATCCTAGATTAGCTGCAACATTGCCGGCAAAATCATTTAAAAGGCCTCCATCACACGCTTTGAAGGTCTTATGCTGAGAGCACAAGTGTTCTCCTTTTGGTTAGCTGCACATCTTCTAACGCTTGCCGCTCTTGTCTGCTGCCATCGACTTAGAAAGCGTCACCGTCGGTGTCGAAAGAAGAGCCGCTTGAGCGGTAGCCGGCATGCCGCCTCGCGACCGGATCTTGGATTGAGCTCGCCGTGTGTTGGATGTGCCTGCCCTTGCTGTTGCCACGGCAGGTCCCGGGCCGCCTCCCAAGCCTGGCACGTTGATCAATTACCAATTTAGTGGCTTTCTGACGATTTTGTGAGGTTGTTTGGCCAAAAGCGCCAATTTCCAATCGGGACGTTGAAGGGCGGCATCTCAAGCTGCCGGATATAGTCAATGTTAGAGACTTTACCAATTAGCAAATAAATGGTGTTTGAATATCAACGGACGGCTTGCTAACCGGATTGTGATCGTTTCGTCGTGCTTTCAAAGAAAGCAATTCAGAGCATGCGGGCTTTGCAATATGACCAAATTGGCCGTTAGTTTAGTTCGAATTATGCTCTTGTGCATAAACAAGTGTAGCTTTCGTTTGACGTCGTTGTGCTTTCAAAGAACGCTGTTAAAGCAAGGCTTTGCATTTTGACCAAATTGGCCGGCATCTTGAACGTTGTGCTTTTACAAAAGTGACTAGATCAGATAATGTGAATATGGCCGTACATCTTTTTTTCATTAAACACTCCAAAGCCCGTTCATTCCTTTAATAGGAGCATGCTTTCTCTGTTATGTGGGTAAACGCGGCCGCTTCAATGGATTTGCTAGCATTTCAAGGAAAGGAACTTCGACATCCTCTGTCTCTCGGTCGTTAGTGCTACCTTCTGCTGCCACGCATTCAAGATGGCTTGAAGAGCCCCTCCTTCGCTCATCAAAGGTATCTGCGCATGGATTTTGAGGTCGGCGATGGGCCTCATGTTCCGCCTTCCTGGCGCATTTCAATGCACGTCTCCAATCGACATAGACTATGTACATTGAGTTGCCATGTAGGCCAGACTTGTCCCAGAAAGCGTGGAATCCTTCTGCAACCAAGGACCTCACGACTTTTCGGATGATATGGCCGAGATTGTAGGGAGGAGTCAAGGCTCGCAAGCCGGCCAAGGCTCCTATGTCAAGATGAGTACTCATAACGCCTAGATCTTGGTAGCATCGTGTGATGGCACACCTTACAGACCTATACACCTTCTTGTCCATCTCGCACACTGCAGCTTGGTCCTTTGGTGGATAACGGATGATCGAATCCATTTGCAAACCTAACTAGTGTATTATGTAAAGGGCAGAATTTTGCTAATTGCTAACACGAGTTGCTGACATGACGAGTGCCACGAAGCCCCAACAATACACTAGCTAATTCAGATTCTGTGCTACGTGTTGCTTGAACCCCCTGGAGTTCCTAAACTTCTGATCGAGGTGGTTCTCAATCCAGCGCGCTCGTGCTCCTTCTAGCTTCTGGATTACGCGCTCTCGTTCCACCTTGTACTCCCTAAACTCTTGAAGATATTCTGCGTACTCGTCGACGAGTGCGTATTCAACATTCATCCAGGCGCGCCATAGCATGCCACGTGACTTTTGGGCAATGAGACCGGGCTTGAATCTTTCGTCGTTCAGTGGGGCGAATAGCTCGGTAGCATAAAGAGCCTTTGCTTGCTCTTGGGTTAGGCCACTGGTTGCAGAGCCCATGAAATGCTCAACAAAGCATAAAAGGACTTTTGCCTGCGCTCAAAGACTGCAGTCAATAAGATTGCGTGTACACGGATTCAAATAAAATATCAAGTTATGTACACTATTTGATGGAAAAACATACTCGAGAGGGTGGGCCAGACAGATGTTCACGACAACTCGAGAAGTGTGTTTCATTGGTCAAAATCACGGTGAATGAACACTGTTTGACGAGAACTGTACACTAAACAAAACGCTTGACGATACACATACACAAGAGTTTGTATGGCTGGTCTTCAAAGCGATGTGAAGTCATGAATGCATACCTCGACCTTGTCAGGATGGTACTTGAGGCTCCACGTCTTGTGGCTCAGGCCAGTCTTGCCGCTTTCGAAGAGCTCCGGAACTTCGAATGGGAGGAGCTGGGCGTCGGCAATGAGCCACGATATGGGCGGCCTCACAAAATTTGGCGCCTTTGGCATTGGTGGAGCAGGCACGGCGTCGATGACCATGCTTCGAAGCTTCGATATGTGCCGCGCGCGGAAGACGGCGCGCTTCCCGTCCAAGGTGTGCCTGTATTTTGAGACTGCTGCGGTGTTGCTCTGGCGCTTCAGCGCATGGGCAGCTCCGGGCTCCAAGCCATGGTACTTTGAGTATGCACGATCGCTCGGAAGCTTTGCTGGCGTGCACCCCTTGCGCCCGCGATGGCCTTCGAGGGCTTGCTTTGATGCGAAGCTCTTGCCGCAGATTTCTGACGCATTGGCATGCTGTTCGAAGCAGACAAAGCAGCCGTTGTCCCTCTTCCAAAGTGGCGAGGAAGCTGACGTTGCTGATGGCGTGGCATGCAGCGGGCTAGAAGCTACCATGATGAGAATGATCTCAAAAGTAGCAAACCGAAGTCTCTAAGTATGCATCTGTTAAGTGCATATTTGCCTTGTTGTTTTAGTGTGCGGCATAATTGGCATGTGCCACTGCTTGCGTCCGAATGCCACTCTCTCACTTACAGTGCTCCGTTGTTGTATCCACGTGACCGTGATGACGTCAGCATGGGTGAGGCAGAAGTCCGCGGCATGTCACGAGTGGTCAACGGCAGAGACTCGAGTGTCCAAGGTGTCCAAGCTTGTGACGCACCTTTTCAATGGGCGTGCCGCGACGACGTCAGCATGGCTGAGGTAGAAGCCCACGACATGTCGTGGCCAACGGCAGAGACTCGAGTGTCCAAGGTGTCCGAGCTTGTGACGCACCTTTTCCGTGGGCATGGCATGAGGACGTCAGCATGGCTGAGGCAGTAGCACGCAGTGCTCATGTTGTGGTCAACGGCAGAGAACTCGAGTGGCCGAGCTGTCCAAATTTGGGGACAAAATTTTGGTGGGCGTGCCACGATAACGTTGGCATGGCTGAGGCATATGTCGTATCGCCGATTCCACATGTACTTGCGTTTTTCTAGGGTGGCCAGATTGAGCAATCCTTCAATGCTCATTCAATGTATCGTGCTGGTCTTTGCGGGCTATGGAGGGCTACACACTTGATCAGTACAGCGCAAGCTCCGTGAAGGGCTGACGAGACCTTTGCATGCCATGTGCTTCCTATTGGTCCATGAAGGGCTCACGAGACCTTTGCATGCCATGTGCTTCTTATTGGCTGGGATGGCCGTACTGGCTGGCAAAGGTGGACCACACCTTGCAGATGGATCCGAGAGGGAAAGAGTGAGCTTCTCAATAATCATTGTCAAGGTGTGGTCCACGCGAGTGAGTTGCTTTCCCATCTACTTTCTAATCGCAGGGATGGTTGGTCGGGCTTACAAAGCGGTGGACCACACCTTGCAGATGGATCCGAGGGGGAAAGAGTGAGCTTCCCAAAAATCATTGTCAAGGTGTGGTCCGTGAAAGGCTGACGAGACCTTTGCATGCCATGTGCTTCTTATTGGCTGGGATGGCCATTGTAGCTCATTAGATGGATTTTTCTAGCAGAGAGTGACATTCCCTTCAAAAATATTGACAAGGTGTGGTTTGCACAAGGGTGGCCGGTTTGGCTTACTATCTAGTAAAATTGGAGTCGTCAATTACCGAGCGGGCCGCTTTGCAACACACATCAATGCGCCTCAAGCATATACAAGCGATCTCCATTGTACTCAACGGTTGCTGATGTCTTCAATATCCCAAATCTAGACAACGTGCGCTGTCGAACTTGCATGAGAATCAGACGTTAGAACCACAAGCCTGCCCTACTACAATCCGACACATCTCATCTCGAGCCACCATTGTTGGCCACCTAAAAGGAACCCCGTCAACATACTCTCTCAATGGCCCCTGGATCCGCGACTTCAAGACGGCCGAATCCTCCACGCGCAACTTCAAGAGCTGGGCCATGAGGTCGACCCCCACCGGTCCAACGACCGGCCGTGTGCGCTCCTTTGGCGCCCGCAGCAGCTTCCACCCCCCATACATGCGAGAACCCCTGCGCCCCTCTGCGGTTCGTGGCTCTCGGCCGTTTTGCATGGCCTCGAGCTGCAGCCCGAGCTCCGAAAAGACGTGGTTCAAGGCCGTCGTGGCTGACTTTTGCTTCGCCAAGACATCCTGGTTCCCGCGCGCGCGCTCGTGAAACAACTTCACGTTCTCGGTGTATTCACGGAAGTAGATGGTGGTCGCTAGCGTCTCTCTCAACTCTGCAAGGGTGCCGGTGACGTGCCCATGGGCGAGGGGGTGCGGAAAGCCCAGCACCTCCAGCAACTCCCTAGCGATGGTGGCCTTCTGCTTAGGGTAAAGGTGCCTCCCGATCTCGGCTGTGTTGAAGTCGTACTTGGGGTCGACGACCTGCAGCATGAACTCAACCGCCTGGTTCGGGTAGGGGCCAAAAATCCTAAGAAAGTTGGCGTCAAGGTGGCGCACGCGGTAGAAGCGTGCCAGCTGGTACTTCTCCAACTTGCACCCTGTCCCCCGGATAGTCCTCGTTCCTCCTGACCCGTGCTTCAATGGCGGCAAATTGACCGGGGGTGATGTCGGAGACTCGGATCATCTCCTCAAGCAAGAACCTGCCCCTGGGCTGATCCCCCGCGCCGGGCGCCTCCACCTCGGCCGGATCCACGACCCGCACCCCTCTCACAACGTGGCCATCACTCTCGAGCAGCTCGGTGAACTCCTCGTAAAAGTGTGTCCGACCATTGAATTGCTCCTTCTCGTTGTGAGCGAGCAGGCGCGTGACTGGGCCCTCGCAGAACAGCCCGGCGCCCACCTTCTCGTCGCGGTTGAGGAACCATTGATACGTCTCCTCGACCCCGAGCCTCGGAACATTTCTAGCACTGCCCCCCATGCGCGTTCTGTAGGCGCTTCCCTCTGGCCCCTCTGTCGGCAGCTTGATACCCTCTCTGACGAAGCACAGGACCAGAGAGTCGACCAGCTGCCGGACCCGCCCCTTCATCTGGTCGAGCCCCCGTGGGTGCGTGCTCTTCTTGCAGATGTACAGGAACATCCGGTGGAACCATGGCTGGTTGAAGTCGACCCCCGCCTCCACGGTCGGGCTGATGATGACCAGCCGCTTCTTCCAGCTCCTGTTCACGTCGCTGAGGCCCCGCTTCACCTCCCCGTCAGAGTGGCGCGTAATGATGAGGACCTCCTTCTCCTCCACGAGCTCCTGCTCTGCCACAGCGCTCCCCAAAGCCCGCGCCCTGTCCGACGACATGCTCACCACAAACACGTTCTGACCCGCACTGAGCGCCTCAAAGATTGCGCTCTCCCACAGCTGGAGCCCTGCTTGCCCCTCGAGGAACTCGAAGTCGAGAGGCCGCTCCGGCACGTGCTTGTTGATAATCACGGCACCGCAGCGAATCCCGTGCAGCGTCAAGAAGTCAAAGGTCCGTTGGCCTAAGTGCCCATCGAGGCAGATGACCCGGCGCGCACGGCGAAGCAGATCGACTATCAGCCGGATGACGACATGCCTCTCCGAGAGGGTGTCGGCCGAGAGGTGCGCAAGGATCGACTCGATCTCATCGAGAATGAGCAGGTCGAAAGCAGGAGCGCGCGCATCATCGCCAAGGAGCCAAGGCAGACTGTCGACCTGGCAAATCACACGCGGGTAGAGCTCTCTGTCGGCAAGAGGCTTGATGACGTGGTCCCCGGCCACACGCCCGCATGTTGTCTTCAGGTCGCAATAATGCGCAAAGTCTGGGTTGCTTCCGGCTGCGTCGCTGGCTTGCGTCTGTCGATAGGTTATCATGAGGGCAGTGTGCGGACGGGGGGGCTCCTCGAGGATGGCACGGGTGACCGTCGACTTCCCGGTGCCCATGGGGCTCCTGATAAGCGCCGCCTTGTAACGGCCCTCCTGCCACCTGCGGAGAGACAGCGCTATTGCATGGGTTGGAATCAAGGGCTTGTTTGCACGGCCTCAAAACATCCTTTACACAAGACTATTTCTAGCAAGAATCCAGCCAAAGTGGCCGGTTTGGTTTATGATCCTTTGGACCACACGTTGCGAATGGATCTTATGAGGCGAAAAGTGAGTTCCCTAATAACCATTCGCAAGGTGTGGTCCAGGAGACCGAATCTGCTTTGCCACTTGCTTCTGAATGGCTGGGATGGCCGGCCTAATTTATGGTTCATGAAGAATCATTGACAAGGTCCGGCCCGCACTTGGATTCATCAAAGTGCTATGCAAACCGCACTCCTCTCCGCAACCGACCTTGCTCGCGCACAGAGCGCCAACACTCACTTGTTCAAGACATCATTGAAAACGACCTTGTCCGTCAACGGGCGGAACCCGCCGCGAATCTGCTCCAGATCCATGGGCGCAGCGGCCAGCGGGTCCCGCTCCAGGTACCGCATGTTCACCTCGACGGCCTCGTCCTTCCAAGTCTCGACATCCGCGTAGAACGGGCCCAGGAAACGCGCTGGCAGAACCTTGCAGCACCGGCCCGTTGCCGGCTCAAGGCGCGCGCTGTCGGACTTGGCAAAGACCGCGTTGCGCTGGGGGTCAGCGATGACGAGGATGTCACGTGAACCCTCGTGCACATGCCCCGAGTAGCACGGCTCGCTCCGGTCGTACCAGCTGAAATTTAGAGAGTTTGCTGATACGGAGCCCTTGCGGTATGCAGTCGGGTGCAAAGTCAGGAGCAGCTCGGTGCACCTCTGGACCACGTACGCGCTGGCCGTCGTGGCACTCTGGTACCGAAAGTGCTCGGGCCTGGTGCGCGGGAGTCTAGCTGCCACTACGTCTGGCAGGCTGGCCGGCACCTTGATGGTTTGGATGTGGTCATCCAACCACGTGATGCACGCATCTGCGTACGGCTTCGTCTCGTCTAGGGGGACGAGACGGCTGCGCGGCGTGGCGGGCTTTGAGCAGAAGGGGAGCCTAATCCCCCGGTTCTTGGTGTAGACCGACTGGTCAATAAGCTCGGCGTACCGCGGGGGCAAGCGCCGGGCGAGCTCCTTGGCGAGGTGCCCGGCGCCTTGATGGTCAACAGGCGCAGCAAGGTTGGACCGGTAGACGTACTGGGGGGAGTGAGTCGAGACCACCAGGTGCAGGCTAAACTTGCCGCTAGGGCCGTAGTCGCAGGGCAGAAAGTTGAAGGACTCGGAAGGCAGCTCGATGTCGTAGTCCTCCCGAAAGATGTCGATGGTGGCCGCCTCAAACGCCCGGATGACCGTCTCCAGCGTCACTCCCTCTGGCAGCCCCCCATCTCTCTCTAGGTCCAGATAGGGCTTGCACACGCACCCAGTCTTGATTGCCTCTTCGAGGTGTTGCTGCCCTTCTAGAAAAGGGTATGCGGTGGGCCAATTGGAGTAGGATCCAAATTCTCGGGAGGGGCACAAGCGCCGAATCTCCACCCGATGACCGAGGACCTCGCCGTAGCGTCTGCAGAAGCCCTGCGGCCCGTCCTTAGGGTCTTTGTAATTGACCGGCTCCCTTGTGAACTTGCGCTTTGCAAAGAAGAAGGTGCCCAACTCCGCCTTCTTGACGGTGAACAGCTTGCCGTCCTGCTCCCTGTGGACAATGATGGCGCCGTCTTCTTCGAGCTGACGTTCAGCAGACGAGGCCTGCATGACAAGGACTTGCACACATTCATAGAGTGCGCGACTGACGGAGCATATCTTGCAATGAGCAAGCCTTAAGTAAGGAAGCAAGTCGTTCTGAGGAGGCGACCACAAGTTGCGCCCGCGCACTCAGCAAAACTACAGGATGGCCGGCCTCTTCCAAGGACTTGGCTTGAGGAGGGTTTTGAGAGCTCAAAAGATGATCCCGAAAGAACGACCATGCCTTGTTCTGCCGAGAAGGCACAAAGATGGATGTAGCTGGCCTTCGAGATTGGGACAAACCCTGTGAAAGCACTTGCCGTGGCGAAGAAAGCGAATGCTTTGCCCAAAACTTACCGGTGTAGCCCCAACCTGCAGAGCACGTGGGCGCGTAGATGCGCCAGAGTCCACGACCAGCTCCTCGGAAGGGGCATCCTGTCCGGTCAACGATCCTGTCTGAGCACCCGCGCTTCTCTCCTGCACAAACGTTGTACACAGTGCATGAGTGCGCAGAACCTACGGAAGAGACACGACCGCACCCGGGAGAGGGACCAAAGAGCAGGAGAGCTGCTGTGCACCCAGGTGGTCTGGACACATCGATTAGCGGGCGAGGGTGATTGTGACCTGACTTAGGGCTAACATTCGCGGGCAATAGAGTATCGAATTCAGGTAGTCAAGGTCGTCTGTGAGGGGGGTTGCTCGTTGACTGGCTTAGGGGGAAGCCGCAAACAGCAATAAGGTATCGAAGATGGGCTACTCCACAAGCTTCGTGGGTCGGTTCGTCCTGTCAAGGGCCCTGACTGCTGATGAGAGCGCCATTTTAGAGACGCTCTATGAGCACTACCACGAGCAAGAGGAGCCCTTGCCTTATGTGCCCGCTGGAGAACACCTTGTTACAATCGAGCGCACACTCAAGAATCGGACATACTTTGGGGAGGAGCGCAGCAAGAAATTCCCCTCGCACTACTGCCAGTGGAAGCTCTCTCCAGACGGAACAGCCCTTTTGTGGGACGAGGGAGAGAAATTCTACTCTTATGTTGGCTGGTTGGAGTACCTCATCTCACACTTTTTCGCCCCATGGGACGTGCAGCTCAGCGGAACCGTTTGGTGGAAAGGCGACCGGCGAGGTGACCGAGGTTCCATTACTGTCGAAGGGGATAGAGTTATTGTGAAAACCCCGGGATCCAAGGCACCAAGAGGCAGCTAGGTGGTAGCAGATTAAAAACTCACTCGAACAGGTTGGCCCAGTCGCAGGCCTCGCCCCGCACTGCTAAAAGACTGAGGCGCGTCTGTCAGATTGTTGAGGCAGCCAGTGACCTGGGGCCCGGCGGCCGGGGAGGCAGGCGCAGATGGCTGAGCAGAAGGTATGGACTGGTCACCATCGTCCCGCTCGGGGGTGGCTGTGAGGAGGGACGCCCGTCCGAGCTGCACATGCATAACAGGATGTAAGAAGCGGGTAACAATCCTTCAAGTGCTAACACGGAGCCACAACATCCACTTCTTCGACAGAGCTTTTTCTAACAGCCTCGATCTAATGCATGATGGCAAACCCTGCCGCATGCGCCCATTTCAAAGCCTTTCTTATTTGAATCCGGCCTTGAAGATGCACTCATAACGATCATGGATGGGATGGGCCGGATGACTTGCAGTCGATTGGACCACATCTTGCACATGGCTTTCTGTGGCAGAAACCGAGTTTCCCAAAGAATCATTAACAAGGTGTGGTCCAAGGCTGAATCTGCTCTGCCACCTGCTTTCTTTATGCCTGGGATGGCCGGCCTGACGTACTGGCCCGGTCGGCCTGACGTATTGTTTGGTGGACCACACTTTGCCAATGGTTCACAGGGGCAAAAAGTGACTTTCCTAAGAAACACTGACGAGGTGTGGTCCAGTACCTGACTACGATTGCTTTCCTGAATATGCTTCTAAAGCCGGGATGAAGCGCTTGACTTACCGTTGGATGCGCACGTGGCACAATCACGCACTTCGCAAAGTCGTCCACCAGGCGCGAGTCGTCCTCGGAGTCCATGGCAAAGCCGTCCCACCAGCCATAGCTATCTTCCTCGGGCTCTGACAGCGAGCTGCCGTCGGCAGCTTCAGGCATCAGCTGATCAGCGTCAGCAACCCCGAGCTCCTCGTCTTTTGCGGCATGGCTTTGGCACGAGGCTTGGCTGCCAGCTTGAGATGAGGGTTCTGGTGATGAAAGCACCACCCGGGACCGGCGCCCTGTTCGAAGCGGGATGGATGCCCTCTTTGGGGCCCGCCGCTTGAAGTGCCCCCCCAGAATCTGAGAAAGAGACTTGGAATCGGAAGATTCCAGTGTTGCAAGTTGGCCGGCCCTAATGACGGGGCTCTCTTCCTCCTGGCTTGCGTCGTCAATCATCTCGCGGTCCTGCGAGGTCTCCTCATCCGAGGATTCTGTTGCGCTCTCCAATTCTGCCCCCTCGATGTCCTCGCCCTCCCCTTCTGTTTCCGAGCCCTGCGACTCGTCCTCGCTGGCGAGGGCTGAATGCTGATGGTGCTCAAGTTCGTCTCTTGCCTGCAAGAAAGTACGTGCTGTTCGACAGGAGTTGACCAGGCCCTTCTCCAAGGAGCAAAGTGTCAGCGAAAGTGCCAATAGCATGCGCTGGTATTGTCGGGCTGAAGCTGAACTAGTAAGTGAATTTGTTTACCATCCCTTCTGAAAAGGAGTCCCTTCATCCGTCAGCACAAGTCAACACCTTCCTCTGTCGACGGCATGAGAGCAGGCTGGATTCGAATGGCTGGTCACAAGGAGGGGCACGTGCCTTGCCAACTTGCAAGTTGGGCGCGGTTGCTTACCTTTTTAGGAAGCGGACCTACCAGCCCTTCACCAGAGTCAGAGCCTGACGACGACTGGGACAGGATAACCTTGCGCTTGTGCTGAGGGCGGCGCTCTTCATCCGAGTCATCGTCAATCCTGCGCGGCCTGCATCGCCTGGTCCCTTCCTTCTCTTGTGAGAGCTCTTCGTCCGATTCATTGGGACGGCGCGCTCCCGATGGTACCTGTTGGGACAGGATGTATTAGCAAGTCGCTCAAAGCAAAGAAGAATCCAGTTAGTAAAAAACTCGACAAGGTCCTTCCTTTCAGACGAGCATACATGAGAGCTGCGCATGCGCCAAAGGCAGAAAAGTTGCATCTCGAGCAGGATCCTTCTTGTGAGGTGAGCAGCCCTTCACACAGATGTCTTGAAGTTTGGGAGTGGGGGCTCCGACAGCTAACGAGCGTCCCGACTAATCAGAAAAGGACATAGCAAGCAGGTATGGTCTTGGACCACACCTTGCCAGTTATTCTTACAGTTCCGCTTTTTGCTAAAAAGAGCCGTATGCAGGATGTGGTCCAGCCCATAAGCCCAACCAGCCAATTCAACAAACAAGAACCAGATGGTATGCAAGGTTGTGTTTCGCACTTCGTGGACCACACCTTGTCAATGGTTATTAAGGAAAGTCACTCTTTGACCCTATGGACCATCTGCAAGGTGTGGTCCGCCGAGGGCGGCAACTGGTGGGCACTGCCTAGACGGACTTGACCGTGCATGTGTCCAAGTGTCAGAAGGTACTCAGTTCTCTCAACTTGCTGACCTGAGAGTTGTTGCTGGCAGCTCTTTGCTCTTGCGCGGCTGCTAGCTGCCTGCGCTCCTCTCTCAGACTGAGCTGGAAGTTGCTGAAATCGCTGGGGTTGAAGAGGCCGCGTGCGTTGTTTGAGGGCGCCTGCACCTGCAGGTCCAATTCTCACATCAATGTTCGCATTTCGTGTGGCATGGCCTGACTTTGATGGTTGAATGGCAGGCGGACCAGCAAGCTCCTCGACCATGTTCTTGCAGGTTTCGTTTTGGCCCGCTTGCTATCTTGCACGTGCTGACGAATCGTGCAATTGAATCAAGTACCGGGTAGTGGACTGAGAAGGACGAGCCACAGTGCCAGTGCGGGAAAGGTCGGCAGAGGCCTAAGGGCAAGAGCGGGCCACTCAAAGATCCTATTGGATATGCACACCACCAGCGGTGTGCGCACTTACCTTGGTTGTGCGCTCATCGGCTTCTCTCTCGTCCTCCCCGCCTCCAGCAAGCGCGAGGTTCAGCGCAACATCAAGCGCCTCCCCGCTGCACAGCTGCTCCAGCCGGCTTGCGTTGCGCAGCTGCTTGCCTCGCGCCACCAGCTTCTGCTCAGACGAAGGGATGGCGATGCGCTCCGCAATTGCGCCCTTCAAGGCTCCAACATTAGCGGCCGGGGGCATCTGAAGCTGAACCGACCTTCCCCCCGGAGCCTTGACTGGACAGCAGATTGGGCGCCGCTCCTCCCCAGTCCCAGAGGCCCCAGCTGTCTGATGCTCGGCAGCAGCCTTGCCCCCACCTCCTTCTTGCACATGACAGGCGCCGCGCTCCGCTCTCCCCGGACCGCTTGCGGGGTGCTTGAGCCCCTCCATGTGAGCGCTCTTGACTGAACACAAAAGGGAGTTGAAACCGTCCAGCAACCCGACTTCCATGGAAGTTGCCAGCGACTCGAGCCCAGTCATGGCCGCCGCCAGGCTGCTCTCCCAGGCTGCTTCTGTCCACAGAAGGCCTGCAGCCCCCAGCTCCTGGCGAGCGCGCTGACAGACGCTGCCTGCATACTTGCGGAAGACGCGGTGACCCCTCTTTGATACTTCTGGCGAGCCTGTCAGCGACGCCCTCACGAACCTGCGCACCTCCGAGGGCGAGAAGCTGCTTTCCTGGCTTGCTTCCCATGCGCATGAGAAGGCGCTTAGGACGGCTGAATCTGGACGCCTGGGGCTGCTCCCAGTTTGGGCAGTGGACGCTGCAGAAAAACTAGTGAAGTGTCACGGGCAAACTTTAAGAAGCATGGTGGCCAAAGTGCTTTCAAGGAGCACTGGTTCTTTATGCATCAATCATGAGGTCTGACCTAGGATGCATCGAAGTGACTTTAGGAAAGGCCACACAACCTGCAGCCTCTCATTAAAACCAAGGCATGGCCGGCCTGACTTGTGGACCACACCTTGCAAATGGCTCGAAGAGGCAAAGAGGGAGTGTCCTAATAGTATTTGACAAGGTGTGGTCCACCACTAGATGTGAAGGGCAGGTTTGCCACAGGGTAGCAATTGTTGCCTACTACTAATAAGCAGGGAAGTGGGGTCACACCTGCTCAAGGTTTGTCTTTTGCGCCATGTCCTTTCACTCCACTGAGTACAGCACACAATGCGTTGAAGTGCAACCTGCAAGACAGAAAAGACCAGACTGCAGCTGATTTCCTCACTTGGCTATGGTATCAAGCTGACACAATAGAGATTCTTGAAGTTGAAGCAAGTAAGCCTTGATGATGCGCCAGCCAAGAGCTGAACCTCTCTTCTTTCGTTGCATGCATGCAATAGAGCAGACTGTACACGTTGGCCCCGCACACAAACTTTGAATCTGCCAGCATGTCACCACAGTTCCAAAGCCCTCAACTAAAGTATCCCACTGAGGCCTCAGGCCCAGCATACACTCACACTGAACCCAATTTCATCACGATTCCCGTGCTTTCCATCCCCCAGACTTCAGCCAAGAAAGCATGTCTGCAATCAAAGCAAGCAATCAGAACCCCAGCAGACGCAAATCTGAGCTACACAGCAAGCGCCTGTTAGCTCAACGAACCAAAATCAGCCCCCTAAGTGGCCCGAAAATCAGCCTGCAAGCAGGCTCCTAATTAAAGGGCCCCCATAGTCTCGAAAGCATCCCTACAGCAGATGCTTCTTTGAGCTCGAGAACATTCAATTCACCTCCCCAGCGGCGTGGATACAACACGCGCACGAGAAAGTCAAGAGGACTCACCTGGTCCCTGCGGATTCCCTGCTCTCCGCTGGCCTGCCTCCTTTTCTCAAAAATCCGCTTCTTCCGACCCTGTTGCAAACTGCTCTGCAGCCTTGCGAACCTAGAAGGCAGCCATGCCACTTTGCGTGCATGCAAGGAGCGCCAAATGCCTGCCGTCTTGCTCGAAGATGCCCCTGGAAACCTCTTCAGATGTCTGTAGAAGCATCTCAAGCTGACGTGGATGCTTGGCCAGACGGGAGACATTTCGCCCGTCAGGGAGCCTCCAAGGAGTGCCAATGAGCCGCCAAGGTCCGCCATTGCCAGCTCAGCACCTACAGCTCTTCTTGACAGGGATGGCCGGTTTCCCTGATGCATTGCTAGGCAAGCTGGCAACTAGGCTGCAATCCAGTCGGCAGTCAAGTTGGGAATGGTCTGCCACTGCGCGGTAAGGGTCGGGCTCGAGACCTTATGGTCCACTCGAGTCCTTATGGTCATCGCGTATGCTGCAGTGGCCCAGTGCCCGGGGGAGTTGGGTGGAAATGTAAGGCCGCGCCAACTCGATATCGCACAATTGTACAGGGTTTCGATCCATCGAGGGTTTGCCAAAACGCCAGCAGCAAGCGCGAGCAGAGACGCGCCATGCAGATGCCAGAACCGCTGTGCAGCTGACTCCTGAGCTCTATCATCTAGATGCATCTGATGCAGCATGATCATGATGAACAATCGTGGCACCACCTTTTCAAGCTCGCAGCATTGTTGCATCCGCCCCATCCCTTTGATGGGCTTATGAGAAAGAGAAGATCCGCACCACCTTTTCTGGATGTCCAATGTTTATGAGCGTCGTTAGTTGACCTGACCAGGGTCTACCTAGGTATGTGCGCCCAAGCAGCATTGTCCGGCACTCGAGCCTTCGCCAAGCTCAACTTCAGACGCCCTGAGTCTGCCAGTGCTGTCCTTCACAGTCTCTCACTGACGATACCTGTGTCGCTTGGCGGCAACAAACCGCTCTTTCATAGGAGAGACTTACAAATCTCTCGAGCTCTTCATTCTAGCGGGGTTACAGTACAAGAGATGGGAGGAACGGATAAGAGTGGGATGCAAGAAAGAGATGTTTCGCAGCCGGTCGTGTCGAGACGAATACAGGCCACTGACGATCCCTGCATTGTCCAGGTATGAAGCACTTTATTCCTGATTTCAAAAGAGTGCGTCGTTATTGTTTCTTAAAAGGGTGAATTGAGTTGGTGATAGTGTTGGCCAGGGGCAAAGAGGAACTAGGATTGGTATAGCATTGGGGATTGTGACCATCAAGCAGGACCCGGTTGGTCGCGGCGTGCGTGTTTGCAGGGAAACGCTGGCGCGTCAACAGAAACTGTTTTGGAGTGCTGGAATGCTTATGACACTGTGAAAGTGCACAAAAGACACTCTACTTATCTGCCACTACCCAAGAAAAGACTATCTAGAACCTGGCTTTGAAATAGGAGGTGTAACACCTCCCGGTTTCAAGCCATCTTTCAAGGAGTGGACACTCTCCCTGAACCCTGTAAGTTACATGCTGTAGCACCATAGATAAGTCCCAAAATAAATCTTCCTGCATGGGCCTGATCCACTTCTCAGGCATCAATGCGCTTGATGCTAAAGCAGCTATCAAAGTCAAAGTCTTCTAGGTTCTTTCATTAATCATACGCAATCTATAGCAAATTTTTGACACAGGAAGCTCTTTCCACTCCTTGATGAGCCAAGCAAATAGCGGCCTTCTATTCTGTCAGATGCAAGAGATGCTCCGGGGCAGTTCCGACGTCATGTCACTGGCGCAAGGGATTGTGCACTGGCAACCCCCAGCAAGGCAAGCTCTCTTCTGTTTGGCGCAAATGAAACTGAGAAGTAGGAACATGGAAAGTTTATATCTAGGCATGAAATTCGGATCAGATCTCATGTGACCACTGCCAGTAGTGACCTCTGTACCAAGGAAACCTCACCCACAAAAAGGATTTCTGGTTCCTGATTGACACTTGCTCTTGCTGAAAGCATATGTTAAAGATGGAGAAAGAGGAAAGCAGTACACTTACTTAGGGGAAAAAGCACATTTGAGATGGAAAAGAAGGAAGCATGCTTGCTAGATGGACATTCTGGACCAGCATGCCACTCTTTGACCGGTCATGATACAAGCTCTCTATCCTCATTCAAGTGTCTCTGTGATGACATTTATTTTTGTCGAGAAGGCATTTGGAGATGTAGAGACAAACACATCGAAGCACGCTCACTTTAACAGGACGCCTTGTGCAGCGCAAAAAGGTTGGAAGTTCTTTCAGGATGATCTTAGGCAAGCTGTGACCTCTATGTTCTCTGTTTGCAGTGCTCTTGAAAAGGCCAAGGAGCTGGTCTTCGAAGCGCGGACAAGCGGCTATGGCGCCGACGATGGACTACCGGAGCTTAGAGAGGCCCTTCGAGAGAAGGTAACCTTGAGCAGATGCTATCATGCAAAACGACAGCCGTTACTCAAAGACGTTGAAAGATCGAACGTCTCGTCGTCAAGAAGAGACCGCGTGCAGGAGTCTGGACTCCCAGATAAGCAGGGTAGCAAAATTCACCTCCTTTAGCTTGTCTATGTGATCGTCTACGGGCGCTTGTTCAGATGTTGATCTGAAGGTGCAGAAAGAGTCGTTTGAAGCAGTTGCCCGTAGCCCACGCACTTTGCCCACTTTTCCTCTACTGAATGCGCTCTGACGTATTCAACACCATCCGTTCCTGCTCTGAGTCAATCGATATACTGCAGAATAAAGCTGTTATAGACGCGCATTCAGTTGCGGATTCCGTCGAGTCAGTTCCAACTTGAATCATGTGACAGAGTTCAACTCGATTATGGAGTTGGAAGACGAAGAGAACAGTGTGTCTAATGTCTACAGGGCCTCTTCCGACTCAACATTACTGACAGTATCCGATCCTGCCTCCGAAAGTCAGGGTTGAGGCTGACTTCCAGATATATTCTAAAAAAAGGTCGTCCAATCTACACGAGCCTCTTGGTCTCTTCGCAAAGGCCAACATGGATTCAACTGATGGCGTGAAAGCTGACTCTGAGCCAATGTATCCACTTCGCAGCTTCGAAAGGAGAACGGTCTGCATAACTCAGAGGTCATGGTAACAGCGGGTGCAAACCAGGTGAGCTTGCCTTTCAACCATCTGGTACTTGTGCACTCCAATGGATTGTTAAAACATCAGCAGACAACGACTTGCTGGCGAACAATCTGCATGCATATCGGCCAAACTCCGTGGACTCAGCTTTTTAGTCACGAAAATTGCATCACTGTCGCTACAAGCTGAGCTGCTTTCACCTAACCTTTCCAACTGAAGTGCGGTTTTGTAGCTCCGAGTCTTGTGCTCGATATGTTCTTCGATTGGTCACTTGAGACAGTTTACAGTAACATGCGGCCTTTTTGGACACGTCAGGCAAACACGATTCTAAGTAGCGGAGCTTTCTCGTCGCTTTGCTTAGCCATCATTAAGCATCCAGTGCTAAGCTTCCTCCGAAGCCCTAGTTGTCAGTTGTCCGCTTAATGACTCAAGCTCAGTGGAAGTGCCGCTTTGGGGCTGACGTAATGGACGCCATGCTTCTGAAAACGTGCACACTCATCCTACTAACAACCCACAATACGCTTGTCCGGAGAAGGGAGTAAAGAGCATCCTTTCCTTTTTGTTTGTGAAAGTCGTGCTGGCGTCTCATTGAAGCTGGAATATCGGGGCCGCTGGTCTGATGCGCACCTTGTACATCTGCCAAGCACACACATTCTGCACAGTTCCAGCAATGTGCTCAATCGCAAAAGGAAGTGATTTCCAACGGTCTTTTCGCAGGCGTTTGTGAACGTCGTGCTGGCGCTGTGCGACCCGTCCGATACGGTCGCCCTCTTCGTTCCGTACTACTTCAACCACCTGATGGCCTTCCAGATGACGGGGATCACAGATATTCTGCTCGGGCACTCGGACCCGGAAACCCTCTACCCCGATCTAGGTATGGATAGTTTCTCATAAATGCTGAAAGTTTGTTGATTCCCTGTAGAAGTGGGGCGCAAAGCTCCCTATTTCTCTTTCAAGCTGGTTCTATTAACAGCCCAACGTTCTCCGACCCGTAATTCCTGAAACTTCGTTCCGTTCAGGGCGGCAGGTCTGTTTAACAAGGCTTGATGTGTATCGGGTACAAGAAAATTCCCAGATCGAGCCCGCTTGAAAAAGCAGCAACTAGAGATTTGGCGCATGTAGCCCGTTTAAGGCAGCACGGACGAGGGCCTGCCCCTTGATGCGAGCTTTCGTCAAGCAGAATTTGCGGACGTTCGAAGTAGTGCGGGAGAACGGATTACAAACTGTTTCGCTTTCACGGATCACAGGGTCTCCATTTTTTAATTGTCATGACTGAGCTTGTTGGCCCGCATCTTATCGCCTGCAAAAGCGGTAATTGTTGTTCACATTTTCCTGAACCAAACCGGTAATCTGTTCAACAACGTGTTTTCAGGCTGGTTGGAGAACGCGCTCTCAGGAAAAGAGCGTCCGAAGCCGAAGCTTGTGGTGGTAACGACACCCAACAACCCGACGGGTGTCGTCATTCCGGGGGACACGCTGCGGGTAAGAAAGCATGGAGTTAGAACAGGTCGCGAAAGCGACGGGAAAAGGCAATTGCTCAGTGTCAACGGTCAGGTTCATAGCAAAAGATACTCGTGACGTCGCCTTTTGAGCTGCTGTGATGCTAAGGACTTCTCGGAATTGAAGCATTGATTGGGGCCATGACTCAGACCGATGTGTCTTCAACCCTGAGCACACTTTCTCCGATCGGCCGTTTCCCGAGATTCGTGACCGTTGTTGCTCACAAAAGCGGTGCTAGAGCTTTATTGTATCGGGGCTTTCCGGGAAAATGTGGCTCCTTACCCGTTTTTCGGGTTGGAATGAACGTTCTTGTCCCTGTTTTTGTTGCCCCAGTACTTTGTTGGAGATATGTGAGGTTTTTTTTTGCGGCGACCGTCCTAACGTCTTCGGTTTGCAGAAGCAACGCACTCCGATGTAAGGCAGGACGAACAGACATTGGTGCGTTCAAGGTGCATGCGGCCGAGACATGCCGCATTCATAAAGGAACACCGAACATTTTATCAGATAGCTGACATCAAGGTGACGTCCAAGAAAAAACGCAGCAATTTATTCAACGGGAATAGGGCACACGAAAGCTCTCGTGTATCCAATGCGACTTTTTTTTGACACGTGGCAAAACGCCAGACTTCCAGCAAGGACCAAAGGACCTGAATTTTGACGTCAAGATACTCGTTCGTGGTCTCTGTGTCGTTTTCGATCCGCCAGTTAGCCCTCACCGCGTCTGGCTTGTTTGCAGGCAATATCGGAAATGTGCCGGCGAGCGGGTTGCTGGCTTGTGCTCGACAACACATATGAGTGAGTTGTCTTTCCAGGAAGTCTACGCCGAAGGTTGAGGTCTCCTGAACGGATTCCATCCTACGTTCCTATCCATCCCCTTTAACCACCGGCATCCAGCTTTCTGCTTTCTTGAATCAGACATTCGCATTGTTTGTCGTCTGAATCGGACCATTCAGCTCTTTTGGACCATTTCCTTGGTTTACTCAGAGCTTTTAAAGACCCTTATTTAGAGGAGGACCCGTCTAATTAAGTACGGGACCCAGTTGTCATGTCTTCGTCTTTCAGCTTGTCTGTGGCACGCTTCAAAACTGTGACTTAGGAGAAATCGAGTGGTGAAGGTTGCGTTGAACCTGCTTTCATGCCCCCTGTCCTGTCCCCTTCGTGCTGCACGCGACTCGAGCTAACTGGACCTACAGAAAGCGACGGCAGCGCGCTTAGTGCGTTGCTTTGTCTCATTTCATGTGGTCCACGTAGAGGGCATGCCGCTTTCGAGGTTTCCAGGAAGCCGAATCGCACAGCTGCTAGACCATCTTCTGTTCTTTCAACCCAAGGCTGAGAACACCTAGAATTCGAAAGTTCCATGATCAAGAAGTCCTAATAAAGAAAGAAAAGACGGTCGTCAGAATTCTGGCCATTGGACTTGAAAGCCAAGGAATCCGTGATGGTGTTAGCTGAATCTGAAAGGGTAACTTTCAGGTACTTCGTCTACGGGGACCATAAGCACGTGTCAATCGAGGGGGACCACATCGTGAACATCTACTCCTTCTCCAAAGCGTATGGGATGATGGGCTGGCGAGTTGGCTACGTAAGAATCCGTCATCACCATTCACCAAGACTTTGTTATGTATCTGTGCCCAGATTATACGTCTTCGTTCAGTTCTGATCAGTGTCGCCGCTATGGTATGATCTCCATCCGCAGGAAGGACGAGAATGCTTGCATAAAGATCCTGTTTTGAAGATGTTGCTTTCGCCCCACTGTTGCACAGGCGGAGACACCCTTTCAGCTGCAACAGCCAACTTCAGATCTGCATGTTGTGCTTCTCCTCAATCGTCTTTAAGAGGTGAATTTAGACAGCACCAAAGCATCTAAATGAGCTCACTGAAGCGACACCAACTTTCCGTCTGCCTAGATCGCGTACCCGCTCGGCGTGGAAGGCCTCGGCAAGCAGTTGCTCAAAGCGCAGGACACCATTCCGGTCTGCCCGCCTATAATTAGCCAGCAGTTAGCCCTTGCGTCCTTGCAAAACGGCGGCCCGTCTTGGGTCAGCGAGAAGATCCACTCATTAGGAAACAATGTAAATACGGCCCTGTCCGCCTTAGAGCCACTAGGGCCGGGCGCCGTCAAGGCTGGCGGGGGGGCGATTTACCTCTTCTGCAAGCTGCCGGACAGTGTTGATCAGAACGATAAGGAGGTCGTGCGGTGGCTCGCTTATAAGCACGGTGTGTGCATCATACCCGGGTCCGCGTGCGGTGCACCGGGGTATGTGCGGGTCGCTTTCGCGAACCTTAGGGAAGAGCAGTGCCGGATAGCAGCGGGTCGGTTGCAGAAGGGGCTAGAGGAGCTCGTAACGAAAGGCATGACGTCATGAGGGATCAACCGATCTTGGCACGCATTGACAAGAGTAGCGATTCTAGAGCATGGAGGCTCGCCGCGCCAGGAGGTCAGAAGTTCGTCGAGATGCCAAAGCTGTTGGTACGGTCTCGTTGGAGTCAAGTCTCTTTGGCCGGGCTACTTGAAAGCGCGTTGCAGCATCGAGTACGTCAAATTGCTTAAGCAGCTTGCCACGGTTTAAGTCGTGGCGGTGCGTGTAATGAAACAAGCGGAATATTGCACATGGACGAGGGCACATGCTCGATCGTCGCAGCTAGCTGGATGATTGCAGCAATGTACTGCAATCAGCCGCATGGCGCATTTGCAAGCTAGGGCCCTCGACGCGCTATATGTGCTCACACGTCGAATATCAACCCAATTATGTGGTGCATGGCGGCCTCGGATCACTCGGCGCATAATGAATGTACGAGACTCCTATACTTGCATGCTTGTGGCGAGGCGCAACGTACTTTACTAGCTGACAATTGCCGCCAACCTTAAGCGGTTGCTCACCTGTCGAGCTGTACAGTGGCTGCACAATTTTGCATGCAGTTTTCTTTGCGGATGACCAATCGCTGTACTACAGCAAGGGATGACATGTCGGCTGGTCAAGTCTATCGTTTCAATATTTGCAAATCAACAGTCACCACTGTTTTGCAACTCAAGTACAGTCAGTAGTGTCCTACTCTGAGAGAATCCTCTATGAATTGGACTAGTAGCATGGATTCCGTTGCTCCTAACTTACACGCTGCCCTCGGGCGCTGCCACCGGCATCGCCTTCGGAAGGTCCCCTATCATCTTGCCTTCGTTTGTGATGATGAGGCCGCGCAAATGGAACGGTAACAAGCACAAGAACCAGAAGCGGCAGCCGTACGATAAGCTTTCGTCCGGTGGAACGACGACTATCTGATCGCCCCGTCGCTCCGTGTTGCCAACTACCAAAACGTGGTCGCCCGCTCTTAGATACCTGTACCAAACCAGGAAGAGGGTGACTTATGAGCATTTTCAAGCCGAAAATAGTACAAGTTCTCGTCAAGGGTTTTAGAATCTTATTATAGTTGAGGCGACTTCGAAGAAAAGTTCTGGTCGCCCCGCCGCTCCGCCTACCACCAAAACGTGGTCGCCCGCTCTCAGGAGTATGTAGCACACCAGGAAGAAGGTGGTTTCTTGTCGTCTTCGAGCTGGAATTTGACTTGATCGTTGCTTTGCTTTTAATATCGGATTAAAGCGAAGCAGGTATAAGGGAGAAGCTGGTCGCCCTGCGTTGCTCAGAACCGGAACGTGGTCGCCCGCCCTCAGATACCTGCAACCCATTCAGGACTCCTTTTCAGTTGTGCAAGGATTACCTATGATTGTACTCGGACTGGCTTTCTGCTTTCTGTATGCGCAATACCTATGCGGAGTCAATCCGGACAAAGGGAAGGAACAGGTCGCTCCACGCAATCACAACGCAATTGCGCACTTCCGAAATGCATAGAGAACAGCGGGGCGCTCAAATGCAGTCTGCAGCTGTTCTTTCAAAGTACAGAGATCTTCCTGTTGTCAGAAAAAGCATTACGAAGACAGCGCACTGGCGAGCAACTTCCGGTTCTGGATTCGAAGTGAAGCGAAGGCACGAAGAGGGGACTGAAACAAGACAGAATTTGAGAAGGCACGGACACACAATAACGCTTTAAAGCGCAGTCACGAACAACTCACAAATCCCAATTTCAGGCTGAGTCACGTTAAGCCACACATCTGGAACTATTCGACTGAAGCCCTCAAGACAGAAGAACGAGCTCAGCACCCTTACTAAAGCCAACCAATTCCAAGCACTGACCCATCTCAACCTGGCTGTATCTCAACCTGGGTCTAAATTCACCGAACAACTTCCGGCGCAAAAGCGAGGCTTTCAAGACATATAGAAGGCCGCTCACGATTCCGTGAACCGCAGCCACTCTTGCCGCCGCTCCGTGTCGGGTTCTCCCGGCAGATAGGACGTTTTGTCGCGCTCCTCCAGCCAGGCCTCCAGCTTGGGGGTCTTGTTCTCGCGCTTCGCGGACCCCCTCGCCGTCTCAACAACCTCCGTAACCGGCTGCAAGGATTCCGGAGAGCGTTACTCCATCTTTCCAAAATCAAAACACGAGAACAGAGACTCGGACATTCAAGAGGGGGTCGTTCTCACGCTTCGCGGACCCCCTCCCGTCTCCACAACCTCCGTGACCGGCTGCAAAGAATTCACATGGGCTTTGTTAGCAATAGTCTCCGCGATACTTGTTTGCATGGTGATCGACAAAACTCTCAGAAAAGTCTGTTCTCGCGCTTCGTGGACCCCCTCAAAGTCTCCAAAACATCCGTCACCGGCTGCAGTAAGCTGATATGATGAGTGATGGTTACTTCATTCTGGGAACTAGAAAAGAGATTGTGTGGAGATTGTGTGGGCCCTTGCCTACAGAGGATCGTCATACTGAAGTCGGACGTTGACGGGAACAGCACAGGGAGTCAGCAATGGCAACTTGCGGACGGAAGATTTGGAAAACCGTTACTCGATCAAACCGAGGGGATAGTGGGAGGTCTCAGAATCGGAAGGAAAGGAAAGTTTCGAGGGACTGTTTTCGCGCTTCGCAGACCCCCTCGCCGTCTCGACAATCTCCGTGACCGGCTGCACGAATTTTGCAGGGGCTTTACTAGCAATACCGTTTGCAACGCTTCATCTGCATAGTTCGTGACGAAGGTAATCTACAGACCTCCCAGGGGGATGTGGTTTCGGGCTTCGCGGACCCCCTCGCGTCGTCCACAACCTCCGTCACCAGCTGCGAGAAGATTCCGTAGAGCATTACCCATATCTTAGTGGTGAGTTACGAGAGCAGAGACTTTGAGATTCAAAGGGGATCCATTCTCGCGCTTCCCGGACCCCCTCGCCGTCTCCACAACCTTCGTGACCGGCTGTTAGGCACCAGAAGGGCATACTTCCATTTTAGTGGAACCAGAGACAAGCGACTTCAAGAATCCTTGTTCTAGACCCTCGCAGGACGTTGCTTGATCCCTGATTCCTGAGGAAGATATACTATAAGATGATATAGCTTATGAAAACTTTCGCGGGAACTCGTTCTCGTGGTCGGGAAATTCCCCGCCGTGTAAAGAATCTCCGTGATTGGCATCACAAAAATTTCGTTGTGGGCATTGCATAATCGAGGTGAGGGAAGGGCGAAACTACGGGGTTTTGAGAACTCCGGGGGACCTTGCTTCCGCCCTTAGCTTACTTACTGCTGTTTGCACAAATTCTGTGATTGGCTATGAACATAATGAGCGGGCTTCTTAAATCTGATGCTTTCTTCCTTTCTCGTTTTTCCCCACCCCCTTTCTCGCGAACTTGATATCCGAAGGAAAGCTTGGCGGCATCAAGCTTCGTATGAGCAACCATTACTGCATCTTCCGCGGCATGAGCGAGGAATCATCTCCTATCAAACTTAATTTCCACCAGAAAAGTCCCAAAAGACAACGAGTGACCTCCTGAAAAGGCAGGAGCATTACGGCCAAGAGTGATGAACCGGCAATCCAGACCCGTTTGGGAATCTGGCTGTCCTTGCACAGTACATGCACGTGTTGGATTCCACAGGTATGCGATAATCCATCATTAACTCGGAAAGGAATCATGCAGCCACAACGACCGTGCAGAGCGCCCTGTCAGCGTCCATCAACTCGAACTCGTCAAAAGCGATAGCGTGGAATTCAAGAAGGTCAAAACGAACCGGCTGGAGAGTGCATGAAATGGTGTACGAAAGGAGCCCTTTTCAACGGGTGTGGTCTTCGTACGTCCCAGCCTTCGCAAGGAGCAGAAGCCCTCCCCCCTCGCATCGCTGGTCAAATCAAACAGCGGCTAAGCAAAGCCGCACGACTTGGCAATTCAAACCTCCGCGAAAGACAGGAGCAAAACGAACCATATTTTCATGATTACTTCTGGTGAGACTGGACCCACCAGACTCTTTGAGATCTGGCCCTCAAAAAGCCCCGAAACGAACCCGCATGTCTCAGCGTTCTCGCAAATCCTTCGAAGATTGACCAAAAAGAGAGGGAATTCAAGTCAAAGTGGCTTCAAAATCATGAGAACAAACTTACCACAATCGTCGTGATCCCCGCCCCATACCCCGCCTTCACCAGCACCGACCTCCCCGTCTCGTCGTCCACCAGGTAGAAATCGACGGCCCGCCGCTCCGCCACGTCACACCCCCACTTCTCGTTCGCCTGGCCCCCCGCGTCGGGGTCCTGCCGATACAGACACGCCTCCGTGTACACGCAGTTCATCTGGTGCGAGTAACTCGCCGTGAGGGGGCCGTCGGGACCGACCGCGATGCGCCCTTTGACCTGCGCAGATGCTCGATGACGTCAGCTGATGTCGACGCAGGTTGCGAGTTCTCGTTTGAGGAACTTATGGGGTTTTGAAACAAGCGGTTGCTTCTGTGCGTGTAGCTCGCCGTGAGGGGGCCGTCGGGACCAACCGCGACGCGCCCTTTCACCTGCGAACATGCCAATGACGTCAGCTGACGTCAGCATCAATGGGACCAGCTTGATCGTGGATACGCCTCCATATACACGCAGTTCATCTGGTGCGAGTAGCTCGCCGTGAGGGGGCCGTCGGGACCAGCCGCGATGCGCCCTTTGACCTGCGCAGATGCTCGATAACGTCAGCCGATGTCGACGCAGGTTTCGAGTTTTCGTTTTGAGGAACTTATGGGTTTGAAACAAGCGATTGCTTTGGTGTGCGTAGCTCGTCGTGAGGGGGCCGTCGGGACCGACCGCGATGCGCCCCTTGACCTGCGCAAAGCTCAATAGCGTCAGCTGACGTCAGCATAGTTTCGGTGTCCCCTTTTAGAGTAGAGGAATCTGGAGACACGCGGTTCATCTGGTGCGACTAGCTCGTCGTGAGGGGGCCGTCAGGCCCAACCGCGACGCGCCCCTTGATCTGAACAAATGCTCGATGATTTCAGCTGACGTCAGCATTATTTGCAAGCTTCCCGTTCAGCGATTGAGGTTCGAGTCCACCGAAATGATTCGATGCGAGTAGCTTGCCGTGAGGTCCGTCAGGGCCCGACTGAGATGCGCCTCTGACATGCGCATATGCTCGATGATGTCAGCTGACATCAGCACAGCGTTCGAAGCTTTCCTTAGAGAAGCTAAGGGTTTGTATAAACGTGGTACATCGAGTGCGAGTAGCTCCCCGTGAGGGGATCGGTATGCCCGATCGCAAGTGAGACCCTTCAACTGCGCTAAAACGACGTCATCCGCAGCTTGGAAACGACCTCACGCGGCCTCAGCGGATGCTCACTTTCGGTCATGCGCAGTCATTAAAGCGGCAGTGCGATTGGGCTGTACGACTGAGATGAAATCGTACAGCGCAGTAATACTACGCTTGTTCGTCGAGAAATGCCGTTCAAATTGTTGGACCGACCGACTACATGAGGGACTGGGTCAGAAAACTGACCACTTATGACTGGATCGACTCCTATGAAACTCGTCCCTCAACCGAAGGATCAACTAATTCAGGACCCTTCATTGGGCATTAGATTAGGTACCTATTTTTGCAATTTGTTCTCCTGCGCTGCTCACTGCCGACATCTCTTCAATGCAGAAAGAACGTTACAAGCAAACAGAAGTCCCTTACCTTCACCAGTTCATCGGGTTTCAGCATGTGGAGGAGAGTGAACGGCAGCCGTCGGATGAGATTGTTCTTGGTCGCTGCAAAAGAAGGGCAAGTAACTGAATCTGTCTCTGTAACCTGATTACTAACCCATTCAGGGCAGGGTGTTCTCCATTCTGGCTTGTCTTCTTGAAGAATGTCACTCAAGCGCTCGATGAAGTCCATATAAGAGAACCATGTCTCACCAATTGCAAAGCAGGACGATCGTGCTTTTCTTTATATTGGTCATTGGATTCTTCCAAACAGCCGGCAAAGGTTTGTAGAGGAGAACCCACCTGCAAACCAACATTGGTTCCATCCCAACCAGCAACACCACACCAAACTGCAGCAAAAGGGTTAGGGGAGAGTTAGCAAGAGGGTTAGTGGAAGGTCAACAAAGGGCCCATGTAGAAATTGGTAAGAGCTGTTCAGTGCTGAGCAGGAAAGAATTGGATGAGCTTGGATGGTCTTAGGACAGGTCTTGGACGGACCCATCACCAGGGGTGTATAGGTGCCACTAATAATAAACATAATAATAACTGCTATATAGCAGGCACACTCTATCCGGCTAAGCGTATGCGTCGCGCGCTGCGCTGAGATGCTCTCGCAGAAAAGCATACACAGGGGGCAGATTGCCCTCAGGGCGCTGCCCGGGAGAACTTTTGTCTCCTAAGTATGCGATCACTGTAGTGGCCGGATGAGACATAATCAACATGACAGATGCGCACTCTCGGGCTTGCAATATTGCAGTTCGTATCATCCTTGTGTTTCCTTAGCACAGGATGACAAAAGGACCGTGGCCCCTGTTCCTTTCAAAAGCTTTCAAACACCCCCCCCTCAACCAAAGCCTTCCAAGTTGACTCTTCCAGGGTTGCCAGACAGTCAGGATTGCCCTTTCCAACATGATCAAAGGAAAGGTTTGGGCGTAATTGGAGATGTATGGAACTGCAAGAAGTGCGCAATGCAAGCCCATACTTACACTCTTCTGTTAAACCCATCGGAGCTTGCAGAATCCAGACGAATTGACTGAGTTGGCGGATCTGGCACAACCCACTCAAACTTCGCACAGCGGGCAACTTGAACAGATCACACACTGCAACTGATGACATTGGCACCAGCCTCACCTGCCCATGAGGGACAGCATCAGCAACGAGGCTGCAATTGGCGCCACGGTGTCAATCGTGCCTTCCATGCCCGGCATGAGGCACACCGCCAGAACCACCGTGCTGCCTAAGAGCACAAAGGTCAGCGTACTAGTTACGCCAATAACCAGGGTCCTAACCGGCCCGGTTAAGTAGCTGTCAAACTCCTCCTCTTGTCGCGGCAGCTTGTTGACGGGCTGCGTCTTTGGATCCAGCAGCGGCCCGTCATGATTTTCATCCTCCTCTAGATCTTCCTCGGGGATGGAAAGCCGCGTCAGCTGGATCCCCCTGCTCCCCTGCCTTGGGAAAGTGCTGATGGCAGCAGATGAGGAGTCGCTCACGTCGGCAGAGGAGGATCTGCTGACATCAGCATTGCTCGGCGCACCAGGAGCTCGCTGGCCGTCCGACTGCATATTGCCTTTTACGCTGTCTGTAATCTCGTCCAACGACACGCTGTGCAGGGTTTCGTGTTCAGACGACTCCGACGGGAGTGCCCCGTCCGCCAGCAGACGTTGCTTGTCGGGCGTCCCATTCTTTCCCCTGGCAGCTATTTCTTCTGCTTGCTCCATTTGGAATAAATCGAGCAAGGAGGAAGCTAGAAGTACACCAAAGAGGCGCCTGTGCGAGGCAAGATTGAAAACCTTCACCCTCTGAGCTATTACTAGGATATTATAGTGCGCAAAGTCTTGATTCCTCTTGCAATTGTGATGTTGGAAAACGAAGTGCTCAGAAGTTGAAAGAGCCAGGCTGTGTTGTCGTTTTAATAGGGAGCAACTTGAAGGAAGAAAGGAACTAGGATCGATGAACTTCCGTCTGTTAGAGAAGAATAATGGTAATGGATTAAAACACAGTGTTTTGCATTACTGCCCTACCGTACTGTTACAGTGTTAGAGCGGGGGTCCAAGAGAATCAGTAAAATTTCAGGACCGGGGCCGGGGACGCTGTTGGAAGGGCTGACGTGGCGAGGTTTAGGGGCAAAACCCCGGGCTAGGCTCCATTCGGCCAATCATGATTAGGAAGGCCCCGGTCAAAACCCTGAACCTCGCCACGTCACCCCTTCCAAAATCCTCCCCGGCCCCGGTAGCTCGAAGTAACTGATTCTCCTTGACCCCGCTCTGTTAGTACGGCCCACCAGCAAATGATCACCATTGATTCAATGAATATTCTGAACGTTGATGATTGATCATTGGACTCTTTTGACTCGACTTCAAGTCGGCGTCGCCCGTAAAATGCGTGAGGTACGGTTGACGGCAACCAGTGCGCACGTCGGCGACGCGCGTGACGATTTTACCGTCACGTGACCACTGACGTACCTAATCATTGATATTCGCGGATCCAGTGAACTTAAATACGCATAGGCGGTCGCCCACGGGCGATACATGATACTGGCGACATTTGTGTTCACTTTAGCTTGTGTTCACTTAGGTACCCACCCGGGGCAAAAGCAAACTAAAAACCTAAACTAACACAGTTACGCGCTCCGCACCCGTATCCACCCTAACCCCCCTGCCAACCCTATCCGTTCCCGGGAACCGTTTTGAAGTGAACACGGCCCTAAGTGAACACAGATGTCGCCAGTTCCCGTGGGCCGTGACTCGTGAGTCGTGACCGTGCTTTCGACCGTCCAGACTCCAGCGGCGGCCATAACTCTCAAGAAAGATAATAGTTGTAATAGTCAAAGTTGGT